CGACTCTAGAGGTCACACACTGCTGAGTGATACACCATCTATCCAGGAATTTGCACACGAACAACTACTTGCTAAGCAGAATCCGCACGGGGCAGAAGCTTTGAAGAACAGATGTTGCAGCGCGCAAATGCCGGGCGTCCTACAACAGGGTTGGCTGCCAATGAGATAGCTACTGGCACACACGAGCGGTTGCAGACATCGCTAGGAAGCGAAGACAACCCTACATTTCGTATCCAAGGTCGTACGCGACCACACCATGGACTCGGGTACGAATCACCTGGGTCAGAGGATAGTTCAACCGAGGGGGAGGAGACTCTGTCTTCTATTGAGAACACACCATCTTTTCAGGAGTTCGCACGGGAACAGGTATTAGCCAGGCAGAACCCCCACGGGAGTGAGGCGTTGAAGAACAGGCAGGATCGGCTATGTACGAACTATCGCCAACAACAGCAACGACAGTCGTTCGAGAAGGAAGCAGCCAATGAGTATGTACAGACACCTAAGCGGCAAGAGAAGGATACGCCGGTGCCTCCGCCCACACCGGCTAGTATTGAGAAAAGCCGACAAGTACTACATGCACGGATACTACACTTGAGCGACGAACTATGCCAGCATGTAGCTAAAACAACCACACCTCGAGAGACGCACAATCGGCAGACAGACCGACCACAGCGTCGACTTCAGGACAAGGGCAGAACAACACCCAGAATAGCGAATTTATAACTCCTCGAGTACAGGTAAATGCAATTACACAGGACGACGGCCTGGTACTACCATCGGAAGCTACAGAGGTACACATCAACACGATACTGACGGAAGACTTCGAGCAGACGACACCGGAGCCAGACCACGCCCACGGGGTATGGGAGGCCGTAGCCGATCGTGAGATGACAGGGTGTCTGAGTCGGATATGAGCTTCACATTTGCTAACACTATTAGAGCAGTGATGGCGATTCAAGACCCATTGCTTTCTTCTGATAACCGACTTTATATTCAAGTGCAGGTCAACGGACGTACGTTCAAAGCCTTGATAGACACGGGAGCAAACAGAAGTTGTATCTCACAGACATCTGCAGACCTCCTCGGCCGCCCAATAACTCCAGCACCACCTGGATCATTCATCTATTTAGCTGACAAGGCGGTTCGAACTCCTCGACTGGGGACGACGGGGGTGGTACCCGTTAGGTATGGAACCAAGATTATCGACGGGTCACTGGAATTGATGAATTTGCCGGCAGGTATAGACATCATAGTGGGGCAAGATATGTTGAAAGGATTGGGTTTATACATAGGCGGTATCCAATCACCACTGGCACCAATAGACCCCATGGAGCTAGATGAGATTCTCGAACCCATCCCACGCCGACAAGCATTGAACACGACGGAACCAGCCGATGTGCGCCAACGGTTGGCACAGGATTTATAAGTCAATAAAAAAATTGCCGACAACGCACGATGTCGTCTGGAAGGGAGTGAAGTTACTATTCCGGTAACCCGTGAACAGGCGATGTACATGCGCAGATCGATGCGTAACTTTGTATCCGACCGATGGCTACCCTACGTGGATGAACAAGTGAATAAGTTGTTGACGGATTTGGTGATCACGAAACGAACGACACCGACAACTGTTCACCTCCCTTTCCTTGCAGTCCCGACGTTCGATGCGGAAGGGAATGTAAAGAAGGTGCGCGTGTGTATAGATATGCGTGCCGTTAACGCGCTTATCCCTGGTGACCAGTTTTTGATCCCCAAGGTCAACGAACTTATCTCTTGTCTCAAGAGTAAGGAGTACTACACGACGCTGGACATATCTGCGGCATACCATAAGCTACCGATCCATCCAGATTCACAATACTTATTTAGTTTTACACACGAGCGTTATCGGTACTCATTTACATCGGCAACGTTCGGACTCCATGTGCTCACGCAACAGTTCCAACGCACCTTGAGCACGATCTTGACGGCTTACCGGTCCAACACTATATCGACGACATAGTTATCGCTAGCGACGACTATGACGAACACATTAGGACGGTGCAGAAGGTGATTCAACGCTTAACATACCACAGTTTTAAGCTTAACCCCGCCAAGTGCCACTTCGCTATTTCCGAAGTGATGATCCTAGGGAAGAAAGTGTCGGCACAAGGTATCGACATTGACCATGAGAAGCAGGCCAAGCTTATCGATTAGCCCACTCCTCTACGGTACAAAGATATAGCCTCGGCTTTGGGTTTAGCAAATTACCTTCACGAGCATCTACTTAACTTCGCGAACACGGTCGCACCTTTGCACGAATTTTGCAAACTCAAACCAAGGGAGTTGATAGGCGATTGTGGGGAGGAGAGACATACACAGGCGTGGCAGGCGATAAAGAACGCTGTTGTTAATGCAGTAGCATTGCACTTTCCGGTCGACGGTATACCATTGAACTTGGAAACCGACGCTAGCGATTACGGTTTGGGGGGAGCGCTATTCCAATGGCTCGAAGAAACACTATTTGATGTTCTTGAGCAAGACTCTGAACCATGCGCAACAAAACTATGCTACACCAATGAAAGAGTTATTAGCTTTGGTGTATGGGCTTACACATTTCAGGGAGCACTTGGATGGGCAACGGTTTGCGGTCTTCACGGACCACAAGGCCCCGGTATATATGAATACACAGCTCAAGCTTAATCCGATGCTTCAGAGATGGCACCACATTATCGCGTCATTCAACTTCACCACATCACACATACCAGGAGAGTCGAATGTGCTTCCGGACATGTTGAGCATAGTACACGAGGGGACAGCGGAGCAGGACGAATCTGAAATACTGTACATAGACTGTTGGCAGTTATTCCCTAGTTACTTTGAACAAGCGCAACAACACTTCGGTCCGAACAATATAGATGTATTTGCGGACCCGTCTAACGCTCAGCTTCCTCGATTTTGAACTAAAGACGATGGGGAAGGGGCGTTTGCCCACGACTGGTCGACAGTTGTAACCCACCATGGGAAAAGATACATATAATGTTACGCAAGATAAGGACCGATGGTGTGAGGGCAACAGTGTGTCTGCCACGGGTACCAAGGGCACCATGGTTTGACCTGTTCAAACAGTTGTTGCAATCAGAACCAGTACTGGTCCCACGAACGCCACACACGTTCCCCAAGTATGCTAAGTATGCCTGTGGCAAGACGCCATAGGGACACACGGTGAGACCCGCTGTTTTCACAGTGACTTGGGTATGCAGAACCAAAACACACAACGTACGTAATGTGTTTAGATACCGCGCGAGAGATCTCGGTGGCAATGTCGGATGCAGAAGGTCAACCGGCAGTTGAGCGGGCGGCGCCAGAAGAACAACAACGCCGTACGCGACTCACACAAGCGCACCACGAACAAGGACATCATGGTGCGGCTGATACAGTTCAACAACTCCGTCACAACGGTCATGTGTGGCCAGGCGCACTTGAGTTGGCAACGGAAGTCAAACGGCAGTGTGCTACATGCTTGGGACAGGATACGCTTCGTAAAGGTTTCCACCCGATGATTAGCATTGACGCGCGCTACCCGTGGGGCAATATTCAAGTCGACTATATCCTGATGCCACTTGAGTCCAGACGAAAGAACAATTATATACTTCACGT